CAAGTATGTCTGGGTAGCAAATCTAAATAGTGCTCTGTGATTTAAACTTAAAAATGATTTTTCTAATTCTTCTCTAGTACAAATGAGTAGAATTATTTTTTCAAGGGTGTGTAGACCAGCTAATGCAAGGATGAGGTGGCAGGGCACACATCCTTTGAATGACATTTTAGCAATGGAAAAGTACCCATTCATCTTTCAGAAGTAGGACTAAGCCAACTACGAGAATTTGGAAAGATAATGCAGACAAAATGTTTCACTTTTTCAAGACTGAGTCTAATGTGAGATGCTGAAAAAATTAACCCAATGAAAGAAAATACCAAAGTTACATAGCTAACACAAATACCTAATCCATACTAAAGAACTGCAAGGATTTCTGCAAATGGTAAATTGCTATAGAATAGTCACCTCATACTTTTCCACTCTGGTAGCCCTGTAAATGAAGTGTTACTTAAATGTGAAAGTTGAGAATAGTGGCTGGCATGCCAAAAATCATTTGATAGATATAAACAGCATTATCATATGTGCAGATGATCTGGCTTTTTTACTCTTATTTGCTCATAACCTTGGCTTGCGATTCCCATTACAAGTGGCACTGTAGTCTAAAGGTTTCTGGGTGGCAACAAGAGGAGTTCACAGTCTGAACTTAATATAATTTAAGAAAAACCCAGTTTTTGTCCATGTACCTTCACACATGGGCCAAAGGACCTGCATCTGAGAGCCCTGAAAGAACTGGCTGAGCTTATAGCAGGGCCACTGGTGAAGCTGTTCGAAGAGTCATGGAACTCGGGAGTGATCCTGGATGACTGGAAGAGGGCCAACGTGGTACTTATCTTCAAAAAAGAGAAGAGAGATGACCCTGCAAACTACAGACCAGTCAGTCTGGCTTCAGTCCTGGGAAAAATTTTTGAAAAATTTGTTAAGGAGGCCATCAATTACAAACTGGTAACTGGTGGGGTATTAAGAAGTAAACAGAACAGTTTTGTTGAGGGTAGATCATGCCTGACAAACCTGGTGTCCTTCTATGACCAGGTAACTAACCATCCGGACAAAGGACATGAGGTTCGTGTCATTTACTTGGACTTCAGTAAAGCTTTTGATTCCATTTCCCAACAAATTCTCTCAACTAAATTGGAGAGTACTGGGTTGGACCAGTCTACAGTGAGGTGGGTGGACAACTGGCTTAGAGGCTGATCCTAGAAAGTCCTAATTGATGGGATGGCCTCATTCTGGAGGGCCATCTCCAGTGGTGTCCCCCAGGGACCTGTGCTTGGACCTGTGCTGTTTAACATATTTATTAACAACTTGGATAAGAGAGTAGAAAACTCAATGATTAAGTTTGCGGGTGGTACAAAGCTGTGGGGAAACATGGGCACATCAGAGGCTAGGGTAAAGATCCAGGATGACCTTCACAGACTGGCTTTATGGGTGGAAGGGAATCAGATGAGGCTTAACAGGGAGAAGTACAGAGTTCTTCATCTGGGTAGGAAGAATCTTCATGATAACTACATGATGAGTGGTGGTCCACTGGATGGCACAGGACCTGGGGGTTACAATTGACTGGGAGATGAACTTGAGTTAACAGTGCAATGAGGTTGCCAGAAAGGCAAACAGAACTCTGGCGTGCATCAGCTGATGTGTGGCCAATAGATCCAGAGTGGTGTTTCTCCCCATCTATTCAGCATTGGTGAGGCCACAGCTGGAGTACTGTGTTCAGTTCTGGGCACCACATTTCAATAAGGATATGGATAAGCTTGAGAGGGTACAAAGAAGGGTCACCCATATGATTAGTTGCCTGGAGGATAGGCCCTATGAAGAGAGACTCTGGGAACTGGGCCTGTTCAGTCTGAGTAAGAGAAGACTGAGAGGTGACTCGATAGCTGCCTACAGGTACATTAGGTGTGAGCATCAAGATCTAGAGGAGCAACTCTTCAGGAAGGCACCTCAAGGGAGGATGAGGACCAATGGGCACAAGTTAATAGAGGGAAAATTTAGGCTGGACATAAGAAAAAAAATGTTTCTGTAAGGATTACCAGAATCTAGAACATACTCCCAGCAGAGGTGGTGCATTCGCCATCCTTGGAGGTGTTCAAGATGAAACTGGACAAGCACCTTGTTGAGCTCATTTAAAGCCAATAACTTCCTGCCCGTGGCAGGGGACCAGACTTGATGATCTTGCCGGTCCCATCTCTTCATGGCCTTCGATTCTGTGATTCTATATGTGACATTCATCATTGTGATGTCCAAAGACCTCCAAAAGTTGAACATATACAAATATATTATCTCTCTTCCTGTAAGAAGAAGGGACTGATATTTGCTTGCTTGATTTGTGGAGTGTTTGTTTGGTTAGGCCTACCCAAAAAATAGCTTTTTGCATTTTATTCTGTGGAGGTGTACAGATTATTAGGTGTCCTGATGTCTTTTGGGAGTAAGACTGAGTCCTGGGTACAGCTTTTGGAGTGCTAACATCCCTCAGATACGTGTGTGGTAGAAGATTTATTTTATAACAAGCCAGCAGCTTAATTGAAATCTTTGATTCCAAGAGAGTAAGGGCACCTCCATTAGCAAATACCACACAGTACCATAACTGCTAGATATTATATATAAAAATTCAGGGTACTTCCTAAGCAGGTAGTCTTTTAAGATGCCCTAGAGAAATCCAGAGACCTGAATATAATATTTATGCACTGAATGATTGTCCTTCCAAAGCAAGCTATATTCTCTGAATAGCAATTAGGGTCCAAAGAGCAGCAGCAGCAGTAGTAATTTAGCACTGTAGCCCTACAGGACTTTGACTGACTCCACTATCAGAAGAGTGCAAGTGTGAAAAACAAGATCTTCTTATGCCAGGGTACTGCTTCCTTGGGCTTTTAAAATCATATTTGTTGACTTAATGGTATAAATATGTTTTTACTCTTAGCACTGCAAAGTAGGGATGTAAGAAATTTTGCCTGGTGTTTCATTTTGAAACTGTTTTGATGAGTTTTGAGCTTAAAACAACAAAATCAAAATGAAACAAAAGCCTTCATAACAGCTTCAAAATGAAACAAGGACCCTTGAAACGTTTCAAAAGTTTCTAAACGTTTTGAGTTTCGAAGCCAGGCTTAGTTGGCTTCAGCACCAGTCCCACCAGCAGCAGCAGCCTTCTGTCATCCAGCACGCAGATTGGGGGCCCGCCCACACCCCCAGGAGGGTTGCGGGGCTGTGCTGGACTCCTTTTGGGGGTGCAGGCCCTTGATCTGCCTGCCAGATGACAGGAAGCTGGTTCTGCTTCCTGGGGTCAGTGGCAGCCAGGGCCATCCCTGGTGGAGGTAAAGTGGGTGCCTGCCGCAGGCTCCGCGCACTGGCCCCTGGGGGGCGGGGCAGAGTGGCCGTGGCTACTCTGCTGCGCTGCCGTCGGCTTCACATCTGGCTGCTCACTACCACCCCTGCCACTGATCTTCCCGGCGCTGGGTATGGGCTGGGGCCAGCAGCAGCACCGATCTTCCTGACTGGGTGCAGAATAGCCTATGGGTGAAGCATCAAAACAACATCCAAACTGAGAATGTTTCGATAAAACGAAATGGAACAGTGCTTTCAAAACAAAACAAAACTGAAATGAAACACTATTCCATTGAAATGGAAGTCGAAGCAGAATGGTGCTGTTTTGCACAGCCTTACTGCAAAGCAGAGCCAATATGGCAATGGGAAAGTGAGAAGGGGACTCTTTTGGTTGATGTAATGTCAAGAGAATTTTTGGCAAAATTCCAAATGCAAAAATTTTCACCTCAGTACATTTTTCCCACATCCATAATGTGTCTTAGTTGGACTAATGTTACAGGTGATTATACATGAATTTGGCTTATGCTGAACAACCTCTTCATGATGGCTACGTGGTTTCTTCTCCTAGCATCAGCTGATGGTTTGCAAGTTCTTGGTGGTACTTGGGGAATATATGATAAGCTCAGAGAAAGAAAAGCCTACTGAGCTTGACTGATTTACAAACCTGCTTCTGAATTTTTATACATATGTACTTCTCTGTTGTTACTGAGATCTCCTTATACACATCTTTAATATGTAGTTTCATTTATTTTTTAAAACACATCACTATTGATAAAAATAAGCCTAAGTCATTGCAAATAATCCTCTGGAAAAAGTGACCTTTTCTGCATTTCCATATGATGAGAGATGAGTGTTATTTGGTACATCTACAGTCTTTGAAATTCCATAAAGTTTGCTTATCCAATAACAGATGCTGTAACTATTCATCTTTCTGCACTGAATCTAATATAAATATTTCAGAAGTTGCCTCAGAAACAAAAGGAGGTCATATAATATTTTATTTTCAAAGTCTTAATATGACGTTATAATACGATCTTGCTAGGTAACTTGTATATCATATATTTAGACTTTAAGATTATTGTTTATTAAAAATAGTCTAGTATTCTGCTTAATAGAATCTGATCAAAATAAGCTCTCTTTCAATGTGCATAAGATATTAGAAAAAATAAGTAGAATTGGAAGAAGGTTTTTAACTATCAGTGGACTGAGGTTTTAGAATAGTATCCAACAGGCACAAATAGGAGCAAAAAACCTTAGTACTTACCTTTAGAATGAAGGTCAATCAGTTTATGAAAGAGGAAACTTCAATTAGCAGAAGCTAAAACTTTGGAAATAACAGAACACTATTTCACTTGTACTGAGGCGTTTTGAGGAGATAAGGAAATGCTATATTTTTTCTCCACAAGGTTTTTCTTTTTACATGCTTCCTGAACATTAAAAGAATATCTTGGCCTACAAGATCTTACCCTTTTGCCACTAGTAAACATGTTGCTGCACTGATCATTTATTATATTCCTAAAGAAACAGTGCTACTCCTTGGTGTTGAAACAGCTGAAGAAAAAAGCTGCAGTTTATGTTATCTTGCTTCTTTATCAATAAACTCCAAAGGCAACCCCTTTAAACTTTAAACGAAACTTTTAAAGGAGTTTAAATTCACCAGGCATCTTAGATATAGTACATACCTAAAGCCAATAGGTAGGAGCCTATAATAGTCTCTCCTTGTTCTGATACAGCAGCCTCTCTGTTTGGAGAGGTGATGTTGTTGTTCCTCCAAGGTGCCTGTGGAGAAAACTGGAGAGACATTTTCAGCCAAGCCTGTGACCCAGAACTTGCCCGTTTCGCCCGTAGTAAGTCTCAAATGGCCACTAAAATGAAAATGGCTTTTGCCTTAAACTTCTGCTCCCTGTCTTCTAGGAAGCTGTGCACTGAGACTGATGAACTAAAGAAGGAAATCTGAAGAGACAAGAAAGAGCTTTGAGTCCTCTGACCTGTTCTTATTTGCTAATCCTATCTATTAATACAGCTAGTGAATCTGTTACCAGACACAGGGAACAGATTTCCTTATATCCCTGGTGCTACATGCAAAAGCCTTTAGTGACTGGAAGAGCATATAAAAGATGATTGTTCCTTCAAATAAAGTGTTATATCATTGTAGAAATCCATGTGTGTATGCCTCCATGTCAGTGTGTACACATGTGTACACATGTACATGTGTACAAACACACAAACATACATATACACACAAACATATACTGACATGGAAGCATACTCACATGTATTACCACAATGATTTATCATTTTATTTGAAGGAACAATAGTCTTTTTGCCTGATAAACTCTTTGATATACATACATAATATACATGTCTGAGTGATACATATGTGCATGTGTGTGCACACTATAAACATACTATAAAAACCCTGCTCTGGGCCTTATTGAAGACAATTAAAACTTTAACTGACTTTGAATGAGGTTTTGTGGAACCATTTATTTAAGAAGTGAGTTTCCTATACTCAACCGCACAGTATTTAGAAAACTGTCACTGAGTAATACTGTGACTTTACATTCAAACACAGCAGAGGAAATGTTTGTTTCTATCCAAGTGAAATTGTTTCTCAGGAAGGGATCTTGTTAATTAGAAAAATCAACATTTTCATTTTGCCTCAGAGATGATATTAAATACCATATATTTGATTTTGGGGGTGCTGCACCCCTGCCAATCCCAGAGTTAGTTAATGATATAGTCTGTAGCAATGATCAATGATGACAGAGTCTGCTCAGCTGGCCTGCTTCTAGTAACAGAGCAAAGGTTTTGCTTTATTGGTCCTCAGTTTTGAAAAGTTATGGAACAGGAAATGCTGAGCAGTGGATCATGGAGGTGATGAGCACCAGAGAGAAGAGAATACAGTCTAGTGACAGCGTTTTAGAAAGTTACATTCAGTCACTAGAGCAGGCTAACACCACAAAAAAACAGCAGTTTCTCCTAGCCTTGAGTGAGGTATCCCAGCCTCCTTTAGTAAAAAATTATCTAGGTCCTACTCCTAGTGACCCCAGCCTGAACTGATGAAAAGAGTCCTTGCTCAACATGTATTGGCAGGTAATCCCAGCCTCCTTTGCTTCTTAAAGGGCTAACGGGCTTTCTTCTCAGGCCTATTAACCTTGTACATCACATAAATGCATCAAGTCAGACCCTTTATAGATTGTAAAGCAACACCCAGATTTGGCATTATATGCATATTTGAATGCCTCCTGTAATAGCAACTGGAGTGCTGAAAAGAAAACCCGAATTCAAATGAGTAGGCCAGAGTTTTATTACCTCTCAGTGCCTCTATCCTGCTACTCCACCTCCCCTCTTTCCCAGGGGAGGAGCACCTGTTCTTGCATGTCACAGTGCCAGGCAGCCAGCCAGCCTCAGGCTCCTGTACTTGGCCAGAGGAAGAAAATAATTTAATTATAAATCAATGGTTTGATGTTATCTCTTCTGTTGCAGATGAATACATTTCTTCAGGCTTTTCCTTCATGTGTTAAGATGGCCATCATCCTGAGAGAGGAAAAGAAAACCAAAATTTTAATAACAAAAGGCACTGCCAGCACTTTAGAACAGGAAAAAGGGGAAAACATCCTCATTATTTCAAAATACACAGCTATCAAAGTACTGTAGGTGCTAATGCAGAGGGAATGACCCCCAACACACTCCCTTCATGCAGTTCCCTCTCACAGGACACTAGAAACACTTTCTACAGAACTAAAAACTGATAGGAGCACCTAGGCAAGCGCTACTCTCACTTGCTCTTTAATGCACTTCTCTGAGATGACTTCAAACTCTGGGCCAAGATTTTGTGAAGCTGAGAATCCCCATGTAAAGCTCATCAGTCCATTTCCACCTTTTAAGTTAAGCTACCTAAGTTTCTTTTCTTTCTTTTTTTTTGGGGGGGGGGGGGGGGCGCAGGGAGGAGTGCCCTTTCCAACTCTAGTTAGCAGAGGAAAATCCTATAAAAAAGCCTCAAACACAATAAGGGAAGCACTTCAGAAAACGAATTTGGACCTGACTCATGTAGACTCATTACAACTGCCACAGAGCTACCAATTAGACACCATTTGAAACATAGTAAGATTGTATTCAACCCACTAAGCATCTAAGAGTCACCATTCTGGTTGAACATGATCTCTTCCTCTTTCTTAACAATGAAACATGGAGAAAAAGAAACCTAATCCTGGGTTTGAGTACAGCATGGGGCAGGCAGCTGCTGTGGCTCAGACTCCAGTTCTAGTCCTAACCCAGGGGAGACTGTGTAGTACAGGGAAGGGCAGTGTGGGGCTAGGAGGAAGCACAGGGGAGATTGCATGGTGGGGGGTAGAAGGGGAAGTACTGCACAGCAGCAGGGAGCTGCTGTGTCTTTGGCTCCAGCTCTGATACAAGGCTGGGGCTGAGCCTGGGTCTAAGACTGCCCCTGCTACTACTGCCTGGATGGGACTAGAGCTATCATGTTTTTCAGTACCCTGGGCCAGAGCCAGACCCACTGGATAGGATAAGCGGTAGGGGGACAAGTGGTATGAGGGGGAAGGCAATATGGAAGGGGGAACAAGTGGTAGGGCAGGGCAGACGCTAGGCTGCCTGCTCCCCTTCCACTGCTTTCCCCACTGCAGGGGTGGGGATGAATATAAAATGATGCTCCAATAGTTAGTTTCTGTAAATAGAAAATTATAATAAATTTATAATTTTCCATATATAGTAGGCCTGTGCAAAACAGCTAGTATTTGTTTTGGATTCGCATTCAGCTGATTCGGGGAACAGTGATTCCATTTGGTGATTTGAATCACTGTCCCGAATCGATTTGGCTGAATCTGACTTGGAGATCCCCGGAAGCCCTGATGACTGCTGCAGCATCCAGTGAGTGTGGGGCTTTTTTTTTTTTTAAGAACTGGGAGCTGGGGCCGGGCAGGGCAGACATGGAGGGATGGGGCTGGAAGAGCAGGTGGGGGATGGGGGCTCATGGCAGAGCCCCCCATGTAGTATGGGGAAGTAGGCAGCAGCAGGCAGCAGGGATTGCCCACCCTACCTGGCAGCAGCTAGTGAGTGGGTTTTTTTTTTTAAAGAGCCAGGAGCTGGTGCTGGGTGGGGCAACCATGGGGGGGGGGCCTGGGAGAGCAGGTGGGGGGAGATGGGGCCTGGCAGGGGTCCCCCCATGGACCTCCCCTCCCCCACCCCCTACTTATCAGCACAGATTCCGGGTCCAGCTCTCTGCAGCAGTGAGCGGGGACTGCCCAAATCTCTGAAATTCTCCGAATCTTTTCCAAATTAATTTGGACCTTTTTATTGGTCTCCTGATTCGCTGAATCAGGCCGAATCTCCTCCAAGTCAAATCAGCACCCAAAGCTTCTCACAGCCCTTATATATAGAATCTAATTATTGAGGGAAAATCTTAAATTTGAAGTTGTCCTGGATTTGGGTAAATATGGTAGCAGGGAAATTTAAGAATAAATTTCATAGATTTCATAGACATTAGGGCTGGAAGGGACCTTGGCACATCTTCCAGTCCAGCCCCCTGCCCCAAGGGCAGGAAATCAGCAGGGGTCATAGGATCCCAGCAAGATAAACATCCAAATGTCTCCTGAAGGTGTTCAAAGTAGGTGCTTGAACCACCTCTGGAGGCAGTCTATTCCAAACCTTGGGGGCTTGGACAGAAAAGAAGTTCTTCCTTATGTCCAGCCTGAAATGGTCTTTTTTTAATTGTGGAGCCCAAAACTGGATGCAGTACTCCAGCTGCGGCCTCACCAAGGCCGAGTACAACGGGAGAATGACTTCCTGGGATTTGCTTGAGAAGTATCTATGGATGCAGACCAGTGTTTTGCTTGATTTACTAGCTGCAGCATCACATTGATGGCTCATGTTCATCTTGTGGTCAATCATGACCTCCAAGTCCCTTACGTCCATAGTGCTAGCCAGTGTAGCACTGCCGAACCTATAAACATGCTGCGGGTTTTTCTTCCCAAGGTGGAGAACCTTGCATTTTTCAGTGTTAAACACAATCAGGTTCTCTTCTGCCCATTTGCTGAGCCTCTCAAGGTCAGCCTGGATCGCCGTCCTGTCCTCAGGTGTGGACACTTTACCCCACAGTTTGGTGTTGTCAGCAAACTTGGCCAGTCTGTTTCTGACACCAATGTCCACATCATTAATGAAGATGTTGAATAGTATAGGCCCAAGGACAGAGCCTTGAGGGACCTGACTGGTCACAGTGCACCACAACGATTGACTTCCATCAACCACCACCCTTAGGGTTTGACCACAGAGCCAATTCCCAAGCCAGTGGATTGTGGTGAAGCTGAGGCTGCAGTTGGCCAGTTTTGGTAAGAGGTGATCATAGGAAAGATGGAAGTTGGGAACAATTTGCAAACAGTCAATAGAAATCAAAGTGTGGAGTCTTCTATGTGTCTTAGAATTAAGATATACCATATGTTCATGCATACAGCATATACCTTGGTCCACCTCAATCCTCCCAAACTGGGTATAGAAGCATCTTGCTTTGATTCCTGCTCCACAGTGCAGTAGCTTTAGTATAACTATTGAGGAACCAGGGGAATCAATTGACTTAATGGCTCATTGTTCTCTTCTCCACAGGTGTTAATGACTTTCTCTTCTTTTTAATGGTCTTGATGTTCCACTAATCAAGTTAATCTTTCTCAGGGCAATATTGCTGTCTGTTTGCTGCTTCTGGTCTTTCTCTTCTAGTTTCCCAGCCTAAGCAAGAAAAGGAGGGTGAGTCCACTGAAGATAAGGCTTTGTCCCTGCTGTATGCCTCCACA